CCACTAACTCCAAAGCAGAGGTATGCATCCCCCCTCCAGAAAAAACAATTACAGAACCCTTTGGGTTAACCCTGTTAAACACAGGGACCTACATTTTAACTCTCCACCTGCCAAATCCCATAACCAGTATGCTTTTCTCCACTCTGGAAGGGGTGAGGAGTTTGAGTTGCACGGGTTCCTTGGTCAAGACAAACCCGTTGTCTCAGTGGCTGAAAGCATGCTCAAAAATGAGCAGTTCCGCAAAGTGGGATTATTTGAAGGTTTTTTTCTTCGCGCTTTCCAATCTGCAGACACTCCAACTACTTGTGCAATCTCTGCACTTCCCCTTGAACCTTTGTCCCTGCTCCCCAAATGCCATCATCCATCCTCAACACCAACTACCACCTGGGCAAGAGGTGCACGCACGCATGGAATCAATGCTGTGAGGCAAAAAAAAAGACCAAATGACTGCAGAGCTCACCGTGCATCACTTTCCTAGTTAGCTCACCACCTTTAACGGCTTTTCTGAGCTACTGATTTTCATTAAAGTTGCAGAAAACTTTTGTCTTTGAGCCCTTTTTCTTGCTAACATGCCTGACCCCAGGCAGTGGGTTAAGAGGAGCCGGGACTGATGGAGCAATAAGATAAACCCTGTTTCCTTAGGAAACCAGGCTAACAGCATCTGAGAGACTCCTCTTCCATGAGAGCCTACATCAGAGCTGCCCCTGAACAGCTGGAGCTGCCGTCGGAGTGAGTGCAAAGAGCAGAAATAGATCGCTAATTAGACCGTTTCCCCATGAGAAACAGTTCTTTCATTTTAATTGAGGTCACTGATGTCATCTTAAACTTCATTGAAAATTCACTTCCAGAAAGAAATCATCATTGCATTTTTTAAGGACAGCATGAAGTTGTTGGGTAAAATTCCACCTACAATTAGAATATTTTAAAAATATAGTTATCTATCTGTCTCTTTCTGCCCAGTCAGGTCTTTTAATGAAAACAAAATGTGCCTATAACTTATCCCTCCAAAGAGATAGGGCCAAAATAATAAATGCAAATACAAAGTTCTCAACCAACAAGGAGAACAGAGCTATGGGAGCGAAGAGCTTGCTCTCTGGCAGCTGAGCACCCCCCGTGCAGGCGTCCCTTGGCACTGCACTCCCGGCACAGAGACCACGTGCCGCCACAACCGACGTCTGCGAGACCCTCAGCCTCTGCTGAAGCTTGCAAACGCTTCTGGAGAACAGGTGATTAAACCCAAGGTTCAAAATTACCTCAGCCTTATCCTCAGCAGAGGAAGGTTTGGGGGTTTTTTTAATTAAATTAATTAATATAAGGTGAATAGAAAGCCAAGCAGCAGAGAAATGTGGTTTTCCAGGCAACTCACTCAACTGAGCTCAGTCTCTGTGCAGGGCTGACCAATCACCAGCATGTTTTGTTCTGAAACTACGTTAAGTCGTTCTCTGGCTCACTTTGTTCTGTCACAAATCCACTTAAAAAAAAAATGAAACCCAAGTATATAAACCTACACTAAAGGGAGAGTATTCAGAGCGACTGTTGGCAGCACAGCATTGCAAGAGCTTCCACCCCCCCTGAGTACCCTCCAAACAGAGACCTCCCAAGGTCCTGTCCTACCCGGACTATCCCGTGACCCTAAAGCGGCTCCCTGGCCTCCCCCAGTGCCCTCCCTCGCCCCACTGCCGGGGGGTCCCATCGGGTCCCCCAGAAGGGAGGAGGTCCCGGCCACTCCAGCCGCACCCCGCGCAGCCGGTGCTGCCCTGTCACGAGCACCTTCCCATCCCACACTCCTGCCCGGGTCATCATCCGCATCGTTTTCTAAAAAGTTTATGCAAATCGAGCACACCACTCCATCCTCTACGCCCACTCCCGAGGTGGGAGCTTTGCATGCTAAAAGAAGGGTGGACAAAGATTAAACGTGAAAGCCGTAAAAGGCTTAAATTTGAGCCTCTTGCATTCCTTCAAATAACATCTCCAGCAGCTGTCCCACCACCAAAGACAGGGGGTTAAAACACGATCACAGGGTACACACGGAGGGGTTAGAGCTGATAACCTTGAAAGCCGAGAAACCAAGTGCTCAGGAAGTAGCTGGCTCACCAAGGAAAATTCTTGAAATACCTTTTTTCAGTGGCTTCAAAGCCATTATTTAAAGTTTATTTTAATGCAACTTGAATAAAAGTTTCAAGCTTAGAAAAGGTAAAGCTTGTAACTGTAATTATAGAAACACAGAATCGTCTGGGTTGGAAAAGACTTTTAAGATCATGGAGTCCAACCATAGACTTAACACTGCAAAGTCCACCAGATATAACTTGGAGTCGCTTCAATACTTTGTTTTTTCAGTAGGTAAACAGATATAAATACTAATTCACTGCCAGCCTCAGAGACCTACATGTGCACACAAGTCTCTTCCATAGAGAGCAATATTTGCAGATAAAATGCATAGTGCGCTCATTGAGTATAAAAGGGAAACCAAGAAAAAATTATCTTCAATTCTCAGAAAAGATGTGTATTCAAAATATTGACTAAGTTATGTTGTGAACTGTGGTTTATATTTTATTTTCCTTATTTTTTTCCATCTTGAACCCACAGACGGCTGTCACGAGGGATGTTCTTGCTTTCATTTACACGTCGTGCACGCACCACGTGCCCGTGTGCCGGCCGGCCGACCGTTCACCGGGGTGGCTGCTCCTTGGGGTTTCGGCACCCGCCGGGCTCGGTTTAACACCCGGGTGCCTTTGCCAGCCTCCGGCAGCAAAATCCTGCACCGCAGCACGCACCGAGAGCTGGCACGCGTTCCTCGTGGCAGAGCCCGGCGCCGGCTGTGCTTGGGGCTGGGGGAGGAGGATGGCATTTTCATGCACGGGTCAATTATAGGAAGGAAACCGTTCAATACAGGCTGTCTCAATTAGCCAAAACGAACTTTTACAAAAAACAAACTTTCTTATATGAAAAATTCCACGTTCTTCTACTTCTTCAAACTACCCATATCCAACCATCAATAGCAGAAGTAACAGAGAAAAGCTTCTTCCATTAAACATCTATATTGTAAAATGAACTGATGGTACAAAGCCTTTGAACAGATAATACTGTTAATGCCTGTACAATAAGCTCTCAACTAGTCCATCGAGACAGAGCGCAAGGTTTGCTCAGACATAAAAATTGCCAGTTAATGCCCAACTAACAACATGAGGTTTATCCTCAATAACAGGCGAGTAGGATGCACCAGCGAGTTGATTTGCCTGAGGCTACACCAGCAGTCAAGCAGAGCTGCAGCTCCAAAGCAACACTGAGCAGAGAACTGCCTCCCGGGAAAACACCAAAGTTTAGGAAATGCAATTGAAAGCTTTTAATTTGTTTTAATTACTCTGTGAAGTGGGATTTAGGCAGAGGGAACGGCACAGCAACCTGGGAACAGCCAACCAACACTGCTGGCTCCTCAACAACAGGGCGCTCAGCTCCAGGCTGCCCTGCCACCTCCCTGGAGAATGTCACCTCCCAGGAAACCGAAGAGCCCTTGTGATGGCTGGATTTGCCCCAAAAACTGAACCGCTGAGTTATCCTGGGGGGAGATTTCATCTCCCTGGACTGCGGTTTGTTTATGTGAGATGTGGGAATAAAGCACCCGGGAGAATGGCTCGTGGAGCTGGGGTTGTTGGGCCCTTCCCAGGGGACAGCACTGTGCCTTTAGTTTGTCACCCGCATCAGAACAGGGTTGGGGGGTGAAGATGAAGACCTTTTGGTCCAGAAGCATCAGCTCACAATTTTGTAAACTCCCAACCCCAGACAGAGATTCTGCCAGGTTCTCCCATAAACTGGGAGGCCAGGCTGAGAGAGTTGGGGGGATTCAGCCTGGAGAAGAGAAGGCTCTGGGGAGACCTTCGAGCGGCCTCCCAGGGCTTAAAGGGGGGACAGGAAAGGTGGGGAGGGACTCTGGATCAGGGGGTGGGGGTAGGACAAGGGGTGACGGTTTTAAAATGAGAGAGGGGAGATTTAGGTTAAATAAAAGGCAGAAATTGTTCCCTGTGCAGGGGGTGAGGCGCTGGCCCAGGGTGCCCAGAGCAGCTGTGGCTGCCCCCTCCCTGGAAGGGTTCAAGGGCAGGTTGGACGGGGCTGGGAGCACCCTGGGCTGGGGGAAGGGGGCCCTGCCCGGGGTAAGAGGTGGGACTAGATGACCTTTCAAGGTCCCTTCCCACCCAAACCAGTCTGTGATTCTATGAACTGGGACTGGAGAACTGCCTGTGACTGGCAGTAGATTTCTTCACCAGTCTGCTTGTTTCAGATTCCAACATTTTGACTTTCTTATAAGGAGACTGGCATCTAAATAAGGTGGAATTCCTCACCTTGAACAGAGCCTTGTAAATGAGCACCCACTGCAACTGAGGCAACATTATAAATAAACAGCTTTCCATTTTCTAGTAGTCGTTTATTTCTATTGTTGCTTATGTAAGAAAACAACAACAATTTTATTTCTCTTCAGTAAAGTTATCAGCTAAAATCTCCAAGGCTATGACAACAAAAAATTGTGCCTTTTTTCAGCAGTATGCCCACATGTACTGTAGCTATTTCAGCTAGGTTGGTGGAAGAATGCAGTAAACACTGTAATGTGAGCAACAAGTTTATTTGCTCAACAGTGACAGAGAGGCTCCATCTGAATTCAGAGGTGTTTCCGAACCCCTTGATTAAAAAAGGAATTAAGTAGTAATGATTCCTTGTCTTTCAGTGTTGGAATAAATTGATAATACCTTGTGTGCGGAAAAAGATTAAGTGGCTAGAAACCCCCAGAACAGAGGAAAAAGCCATAGACACTAAAGATTACAGTACGGAAATGCTCCGTTTGATCAGAAACTTGGCTCAAGGTGGCACACTGCTTCCTCCGCCAGACGACGAGGTAAGCAACGGACAGCCTAAGTCTGTGCACCTGAATTCCAGGCACCCCGCCACGCCAGCATCCCCCGACCCGAACAGCCCTCCACGGGAGCGGAGCAAAGCAGCCGAGCACCAACCTCGTCGCTCTCCTCTACGTCCACGTTGCCGTTGGCATCATCGTCCATCTGCTTGTGGATGTTGCGGACGGCTTCGAAGCTGAGCTGCTCGTCTTCATCGTGGCACAAGGGCTTGTCAATGCGGCAGAACTCTGCTGAGGAAGAAAACACCAGTGTTAGGCAGCCTGTACCACAAACCCCGCCATCGTGTTTTCTCACTAAGCTTCTTGGTTTTGAAAAGCCCTGGCTGAGCACTAGAGAAAGCATCCCGGTGCCGTCATTCACAGCAGGGCCGCGTGCGACGGCCAGAGGCCTAAAAAAGCCCGAAAAGCAAAGGGGGGGTGATGGCCTCGGCGAGGCTGCTCTTCTCTAGGTCAACCTCTTTGGCATCTCCACCGCTGTGCCGGGCCTCGCCGTGCCGAGGGCAGGGCTCGCAGCTGGGCCTTTCTCCTGCCGGCACGGTGGCCACCGATGCCCCGCGGGCAGGGGAAGGGGAGGCCTGCAGCTGTATTTTATCTCCGATTTCACAAGCTTCATTTCTCACTTGGAGCTTGTTAGTGTTGGCACAGCGTCTAGCTAGGACATTCTGAGAGTAAGAGCCGTATGTTTATAGAACATGTCAATTAAAAGAAGTTAGCCTTCTTCCTGATTATGGAATGGATTTTTCTGGCTTGTTTTCCACATATTTTTCTACGTTTCAAGACTAACACTTTAAATTTTGCTGCATGCCTGAGTGCATGAAGCACCAAACGTGGTCGATCCATCCCTTCTATGGCACTGCCACGTGGCGATGGGTGACTTGCTGTGACGACCGCAGACCAACGCGGCAGCGCCGAGACAAAAGCACAGACGCCAGGCACCGAAAACATCCCCCAAAGGTGAGCTCTTTGTATCACACGCATTAAGAAAAACCCTTTTGTTTCACAGAGGCTATATCAGATTCACCGTAAGCAGATAATGATTAAGAATTATCCAGGGGTGGCTGCTCAGAGATCACCATGAAACCAATTTAATAGCTCATGGCCCAGTTCCCATTAGAAAGGTCTCATGCTCAAAAAAAGTCAAAGAGAGTTCATACTAGGATGATCTCCTCAAGATAAAACGAGTTTATTTATAGGAAAAGTAGATGGATTTTCTCCTGCTGCTGCTGCACACGCTGTATCTGCTGCCAATAACTGGGCACACACTCACCTTGCTATCCAGATCATCATTTGGATGATCCACATCCCTGTCACATCTCCACATAACTAGCAAGTACTTGGATTCACTATCAATACAAAAGACTATTCAGCGTTAAACCCATACACGTTTTTTAAAATTATTTTCATTATTTTAGCACATACTACATGATCCCTATGGAAAAATAAAATTCCTAGAGGAAGTCCAAAAGCCTCTTTAAGAGAGGTTCTGACAGAATACGTGTTACCTAGCACATTTAAAAGTCCACTCAGTCAGTCTGCTTGTGAAATTGAGGACTCAACTACCAGATCTGGCTGCCAGTAGCCCTGCTCTGCTCCTGCCCCTGGGGAGGAACAACCCCAGGCACCAGCACAGCCTGACAGAGAAGGTCCCGGTGGGCACCACGTTCCATGAGCAAAGGTGGCCAACAGCGTCCTGGGCTGCACCAGGAGATGTCTCAGGGGGATCTCAGCCATGGACATCAGTACCTGCAGGGAGGGTGCCAGGAGGATGGAGCTGGGTTCTTCCCAGTGGTGCCCAGTGCCAGGACCAGAGGCCATGGGCACACACTGGAACACGGGAGGGTCCCTCTGAACATCAGGAAACACTTTTCACTGTGAGGGTGACCAAGCTCTGGCACAGGTGGCCCAGGGAGGTGGTGGAGTCTCCATCGAGAGAAATTCAACAGCCATCTACAAACAGTCCTGGGCAACCGACTCCGAGTGGCCCTGTTTGAGCTGGGGGCTGGGACCAGATGGACCCCAGAGATCCCTTCCCACCTCAACTAGTCTGTGATTCTGTAATAACACCAATCTCCTTATGCCTGGCGGTGTATAAGAGGCATTTGGATAATGTCCTCAAGTTGCTTTAACCTTTGGTCAGCCCTGAAGTGGCCTGAAGTTGGATTAGAAGATATTGTAGGTCCCTTCCAGGTGGAACAGTCTCTTCTATTCTAAGTGTCAGCACACAGACTTCCTTGTGGAGGAAACCACGCTGACACCATCTGATGCCATGGGGGTTTCTAGATTTCACAGTGGAAGCCCATCCATCTCTCAGTCCTTCTAGATTGGTTAAAAAAAAAACCAAACCAAACCAAAACAAAACAAAAACAACCAACCAAACACCTCCCTCCCCGAAACAACAACAACAAAACCCCCCCAAACAAATCAACCCCAAACCTCAAAAAAAAAAAAAAAAAAAAAATCAAAAAAGACCCCTCCCAGACACCCACCCAGCCATGCTTCATAGAGCAGTTGGGGGCACGGGCTTTGCTCCTGCAAGTAGGTTAATGTTAGAGGAGAAGTCACTGCCACTGTAACATGGAAAAGAGAAGCAAAAGCAGTCAGTGTACCCTGAGAGCAGACAGAAGCACACGAATACCAATATCGTTGTTTTGCCCCGATTTACTAGAGCTTTAAGTGTCCACGTGAGACCAGACGATCAAGCTGAGATTCCCTGACAGGATGCCTGAAGTTTATGCTGAAGCCAGCTACCAGAGCTCCTGAGCGCAGTGCAGCTTCAGCCATAAGCCTGCTTATTCTTAAATATTTGTAAAAGAGCTCAGTAAATAAACCAAACTAGAAGGCCACGTAAATATATGGCTGTTTTCCTACCTTTAACTGTTGCTTTTCCTACCTTTAACTGTTGCTTTTCCTACCTTTAACTGTTGCTTTTCCTCATCTTATGTCCTCACACTAAATACGTGGCTCACAACCAGCTTTGTTATGTATGTATCCCTAAGCAGGAGGCTGAATAAAATACTGGAGTTTTCATTCTGAGGAACACAAGCCAAGGATCAGGAATTTAATTTTAACTTTATCTGCAGCAGAACAAACGATGTTCTTTTAAGTCATGTTCTGCTTAAAACAAAGTCACTTAAAAATTACTTAGATGGATGTCAGAGCATTACTCAAATCAGACCAAGCTCTTATATTATGCTCATAACAGTTATTTTTGGTGTGTTATATATACACACATACACAAATGTACTCAAGATCTTAGCTATAGTTTTGCACTAGCATCTTTCAAATACTGAATTAATTTTAGATGACAATGCATAATATCATACACTATAAATTGAAAGGGGGTTTTGTGGGCTTCTGTTTGTTTTTTTAAGCACGGAACTCCTAACGGCCAATCGTCCTCCAGCACTCCAGGGAAAAGTGGTGTCCTGAAGGTGCTTGATGAACCACCTCAAGAAAAAGTATCTGTACCTCAAATAAACAACCGCACCTTATGCATGCATGCTGAAAATTGCCATCATTAAATATCCAGGTGGATAACTGTCACTGTCACACATACCACCCCCATGCCTCGCCATCTAGAGCCCTCGTCCCACTCCAGGAAAGTGAAAGCCCTCAAAACTACAAACAAAAAACAATCTTAAAAACTAGAATTGCCCGGAAATTCCAGGCCTGGTCTACCCTTTTAGAGCTTTTTAAGAAGAACACACTTTTAATCTCCCAACACTGGGGTAAAAATTGGTAGCTAAGCCCTTAAAACCTCTGACACCGGCACAGCCACCGGCTATACTGGTGCAACCCTCAGAGCTCCTGGCACAGCTTCAGCGCGGGCAGGTTTTGTCTGTACCTAAAGGTCTCTCTTTTTGAAACTGTCCTGGGTTGAGTGAGTGGTGGAGTTTTTTGGTGGCAGGGGAGGGGGCTATCGGGGCGGCCCCCTGTGAGAAGCTTCTCGAAGCTCCCCCAGCTCCACGTCAGCTCCACTGCTGTTTGGGAAATTGAGCCAATCAGCTGCGCCTCTGCGATAACGTATTTAAGAAGGGACGTGGTGACGGGCAGTCGGACTTGTGAGGAGGAGTTGCTGCAGCTGCATGAACACCAAGGTCAGTGGAGGAACGGAGGAAGAAAGGAGGGGGGAGGTGTGCCAGAGCAGAGACCCTCCTGTATCCTGTGGTGAGACGGCAGGGCGGCCCCCCCCTGCCACCCATGGAGATCTACAGTGGAGCAGACATTGATTTATGGCCTGTTGTTCCTGCTTGCCTGATCAAGGTGCTGTGCCCGAAGAAGGCCGGGGTCTCATGGGAAAAGGCAGCCCCGCTGCTGTAATTCAGCACTGGGAGGATTGCAGCTTGCGGGGGAGTCCCACGCCGGAGCAGCTCGGGAAGGGCTGCAGCCGTGGGAGGGAATCCAGTCAGAGGAAGTTAGTGACCCATGACGGAGCAGTGTGGGGAACGCTGCGGCCCATGGGAGGAATTCAAGTCAGAGAAAGTTTGTGGAGGACTGTCTCCTGTGAGAGGGGGACCACGATGGAACAGGAGGAACAAGTTTTGGACACTCCCCTCACTGAAGATGAAGAAAGTGGCAGCGCTGACTGCACCCCCCATTCCCTGCCCCTGCGCCACTGGGGGAGGAGGTGGAGATATCGGGAGCAGAGCTGAGCCCGGGAAGAAGGGAGGGGTGGGGGGAAGGTGTTCTCAAGATGTGGCAATGCTTCTCACTGTCCTACTCTGTTATGTGTTGTTAGTGTCTGTAATAAATGTATGGTTTTTTTTCTTCCCCTAACGAGTCTGCCTTTTGCTCGTGATCATAAAAGGGGGATTTTCCCCCATCCCAGTCCTATCTTGAACCCCAAGCCTGGCTCTCTGTCCCTTCTCATTGCTGGAGGGGAAGGGAGAGAGAGCTGCTGCATTGTGGTTGGCTGTCAATCAGGCCTAAACCACGACAGAAACCTGGTGAGCAAACCGTCCCAATGGGTTCTTCAGCTGCAGCTCCGTGACTCCGTGCTGCTGCACGTCCCCAGGCTGTACAGCCTCAGCCCTGGCACTGGTACTTGAGCGCATCGGACACCAAGGCCCCTCAGACACACCACTTCTCTAAGGTGGCCTTTGGTAACCCGCAGACAAACCCGTATTTATCAAGGAGAGGCACCTGTTCTTGTTACAAAAGCAGGTTTTTAAAAATGGGCTCTCTGACATGAAAACCCAATGAGCCTTTAGGGACATGCAGAGGCAAACGGA